CTGAACCAGTGGAGCTTACAGTGCAAGGCTTTTTGATAGGGCAAGGCTTTTTGAACTAGTGACATTTAGTTTGAGATTTTAAAAAAGTGGAGTGAACATTTAAGACAAGTAGAAGAATAAAGCAAACAGCATGTTTCAAGACTCTTCAAGGAGTGAAATCGTAGACGTAACAGAAAAAGAGGTAAGTGGTTGATATGGGTGAGCAGTGTCATATCAGGCGGGTCTTCAAGACCATACTAAGAGTTTTAGGTATTATAAGTCAAATAGGCACTCAATAACACATTAAAAATAGAATAAACACGTGCATTCACATGCATTCATATACATACAAATATATGATTTAACTTATGTATTCAAAAGTTTATATTGCCTGCTACATAGAGAGTGGTTTATGGGAGTGTATAATAATAAAAAAAAGCCTAAAAGATAAAAAGCTATGTATTATTTTATATTCTTTCACATTCGACATATTCTTGGTATATTCTCTATATTCTTTGTACCCTGGGATTAATATTTTTACTGCTATAATTGACATAAGATAAACTACTTGTTCATAAAGTATAATTAGATACATTTTTGACATAAGTATTCACCAGTGAAACCACCACTATAATTGAGACAATTAACATGTCTATAACTCCCAAAAGTTTCCTCACATCAGTTTGGAATGTCTCCTACCAGTCCCTGCTCTTGACCCCAGGTATCTACCTATGTTTTGTGTTATTATAGTTTCCATTGTCTAGAATTTTGAATAAGTGGAATTATACAACATTTGCCCTGTTTGTTGTCTGATTTATTGCACTCAGCATATTGATTCTGATACTCTTTCATATTGTGGTTTATACCAATAGTTCATTTAATTTTATTGCTGAGGACTATTTTATTATATAGAAATATACTACTTTTTTTATCCATTTACCTGTTGATGGATCCTCGGGTTATTTCCAGTTTTGGGGCTATTAAAAATAAAGTTTCTATGAACATTTGGGTACACAATGAAATTAAACTTTCAAGAGTCGTGGGTAATGGTGTGGCTAGATCATAAGGTAGGTGTATTTTTAACTTTCTGTGAAGCTATTATTGGAGGTGGCTGTATAATTTTACCTTTCCATCAGAAGTACATGAGAGTTCTGGTTGCTCACATCCTTTTCACATTTGGTATGGTGAATCTTCCATTTCACCTATTCTAGTGGGGTGCCATATATCTAATTATAATTTAATTTGTAATTTCATGATAATGAACAACATTGGGCATCTTTTTAGGTACTTGTTTGTCATCCAGATATCTCTGGGGAAGTTTCTATTCAACTATATTTTGCTCATATTTATATAGGTTTGCTTATCTTGTTACTGAAAAGTCATTCTTATAAATTAAAGATACAGGTCCATTGTGGAATATATATTTTTCAAATTTTTTTCAGACCATATCTTACCTTTTGAATTTCATAATGGTGTCTTTGAAGAGCAAATGTTAATGTCGATGAAGTCCATTTCATTGAATTTGAAATATTTTCTAGTTTGTAGCTTTTGTATTTCAATTAAGTGATCTGTGCCAAATCCATGTCACTAAGACCTTTTTCTATGTTTTCTTCTAATTTTGTAGTTTAAAATTTACATTTACATCTATCATCCTTTTTGAGTGGATATATGTATAGAGTATGAGGTTATGATCCAGGTTCATTTTTGTGGATATGGCTGTATACACTATTGATACATTGTCATTTTTAAAAATTATTCTTTCATCATTGAATTATGTTGGCATCTTTGTCAAAACCAGTTGGCCACATAAGTTTAGAATATTATATTTCTGGACTCATTTTTCAATTATTTATTTGTCTGTAATTAGGCCAATACCATATTGCCTTGATTACTATAGCTTTATAAGAAATCTTAGAATAAAGTAGTGTGTTTCCACAACTTTGTTCTCTTGGCTACAAGAAAGTTGTTTTGGCTACTCTAGATCTGTTGCATTTCCTCCATAAAACATTTAGAATAGGCTTGTCAATTTCTGTGACAAAAACAACAACAATAAAAATGCTTCCTGAGATTTTGATAGCATTGCAATCAATCTGTCTATCATCCTGGGGAGAATTGACATCTTAATAATATCAAGGCTTCTAATCCATAAACATGATTTATCTATTTACTGAGGTCTTCTTTTAAACTTTTCAATATACAAGACTTGTGTACCTTTTGTTAAATTTATCTCTATTTATTTTATGTACTTTGATGTAAATGACATTTTTGTTTCAATTTTTCTTTGTTGCTATAAAATAGATGTACATTTGTTTTTGTATCTCTCTTTTATTACCTTATATCCTGAAATTTTCCTAAGCTTACTTAATAGGTATATTAGCTCTTTTGTAGATTCCATGAGCTTTTCTGCATAAATTGTCATGTTGTTTGCAAAGACAACTTTTCTTCTACTTTCCCCAGCTGAATGACTTTTATTTCTATTTTTTCTTGTGTCATTAACTAAACCTCCAGTACAATGTTGATCAGAAGGTATGAGAGTGGATATTCTTGCTTTATTCCTGATCTTAGGGAAAAAACATTCAGTCTTTCAAAGTTAGATATATATATTTTTTATAGCTACTCTTTATTAGGTTGAGGAAGTACCTTCTATTTCTAGGTTTTGAGAGTATTAATCAAGAATGAATATTAAATTTTGCTATGTTTTTGCCTCTGATCTAGTTAGATTATTTGCTTAGATGTTAAAATGGTGAACCACATTGATTAATTTTAAAATATTAAAACAACCTTGCATTTTCATGTATCAACCTTACTTAGTCATGATGCACTCTACCTTTTATATATTGTTATATTTTATTTTCTGACATTTATTAAGATTTTTTGCATCTATGACAATGAGGGCTATTTATCTATAATTTTTGTTAGGTCTTTGTCTTCTTCAGTATCATAATACTGGCATCATAAAATGAATTTGAATCTATTATTTTTATTTAGTTATTAGTGATGAGAAGGCCCTGAGATGCTAGGAAACAATGAACACCAAAGGAATTCTTATTTAATTAAAAAAATAGCACTTGCTCTAATTGAATAATATTCTAATTTTAGTATGCATGAGAAATACTGAAAATTTTACTTAAATAAAGATCCTGGCCTGGTTGGTGGTTCACACCTATAATCCCAACACTTTGAGAGGCCGAGGTAGGCAGATCACCTGAAGTCAGGAGTTCAAGACAAGTCTGGTCAACATAGTGAAACCACGTCTCTCCTAAAAATACAAAAAATTAGCCTGGTGTGGCAGTACGCACTCACCTGTAGTCCTAGGTACTTGGGAGCCTGAGGCAGGAGGATTGCTTCAATACGGGAGGCAGAGGTTGCAGTAAGTGAGATCATGCCACAGCACTCCAGCCTGGGCAACAGAGCGAGACTCTGTCCCAAAAAAAGAAAGAAAAAAATGATTTAGAAAGTCCAAGAAGGATACCAGAATTGGCATTAACAAAGATAAAACCATATCTCCCTGGGTGATTTTTATGTAAATGATTTATGTTCTGAGAACTCTTAGTCTGCTTAATAGTTCTGTAAGTATGTTTCCCAGACGAGCAGCATCAGAATCACCTGGGAACTTTTAAGAAATGCGGCTATTCTGTACCCACTCCAGATCTACTAAATCAGTAACTCTGGGTGAAAAAGTTGGTGCAGTCTGTTTTTAATAGGCTCCAAGGTGACTCCGGTGCATTACAATTTGAGAACTATTGTTCTATGTTAATGAGAGAGAGAATGGATATAGATGCAGCTAATTTGGTATCGTTTTAGGTATGTAGGTGTTAGAAAGTGGGAAATTTCTTCTAAACTGGCTTTGTCTTCCTTATTACATGTATGGAAGGTCTGAGAGTGAGAGAGGGGAAGATGTCTCAGAGGTGTGAGTAGTGTGGCGATGATATGGATGGTCATTAGGAAAACGGGAAGTCAGGCTGATGAGATTGTTAGTGACTATTAGATGACTCCTTAAGCTCTGTGATTGCTGTTGTCAATGTCCATTTGCCCATTGGTACAGTTTTCTTCCCCAATTCTGAGCTGCCCCTGGTAGAGGTATGGAGAAGGCAGTTTCTTGAATTTCTGTGTATTTTTTTGACAAATAGGTAGAAGGGAAGACAAGAAGGATAAAGTAAATGAGAGTATTTGCAAGAGAGTAAATGACTGTAGTCCTGGGCCATGGTCATTGTCTATATAAAAAGAAAGATGAAGACAAGAGGAGGATAATTAACAAGGAACCTGCTGGGTCCTATGGATACAAAGTCTTGATGAAATGGAGGAGTTGTTTAGGTAGATACAGTTTAGTAAAGAAACAAGAAGTATGAACGGTAGTGGCTAAAGGGTGAAATGTTGGTTTTTTAATTATAGTCATTTTTGTGATGACAAGCTACAAGATATGACCTTGGTAACAGAGGCTGAGTTCTACTGTGCCAAATCATTGGTATTGAGAAGGGCAGAGACTGGGTGAATAAAATACTTACATGCATATTGATGTTTTCTTCATGATTGATGTCAATCATAGTGATAATAGGATGAATGGGAGACTGACAGCCAAGGACTAAATCAAAATCAGAAAACACAAGGCCATCTGCACCACAGAAGCTAAATTGGAAGGCATCACTGGAACAGGAAAGCTCAGAAGCACATGAGTTTGTTTCTCTAGCTGATTAATTTGGGCCCTCCCACAATTTCACAAGCTTATGTCCCCAGTAAATCCTAAAGTCACAGAATATATTTGATAATAAAATTTGTAATTGCAATATCTGAGTATGAGTTCTGATGTAGCGATGCAGATACAAAAAAATAGCAACCAGTTATCCTATAGAACTTTGCAAAGAAATGGAATCACAATAATTTCCTCATTTTTTCCCTATTTATGACAGATAAAAAAAAAGTTGGCTTTGAAAGATTCCTACCAGCTCAGAAGTGCATGGATGAAGATTGTTGTTGATGTGCCCTGCCAGCATGCATTCTAATCTTGTTTTTCAAATTCACAGAGAGTGAAGAAGTTTATCAAAGGCAAGTGCTGTCCATTTCATGTATCGTCTTTGGAATTGTCATCGTGGGCATGTTCTGTGCAGCATTCTACTTCAAAAGCAAGTAAGACCATTTCTCTCAAGTGTTTAAAGGCTACTTTTAGACAAAGCACTTTGTGTTACTTTAAGGTCACAGTCTGTGCACCACACAGAGGGAACCTGTGCAAATGGGTCTAGCAACAATCCGCAAGTGACTTACGACCTTTCTGTAAAGTGTGGTGAGTGTGTACAGGCATGTGCATGCATGTATGTGATGTGTGTGTGCACACATGTGTGCAGTTTGTCTTTGATGCACATAATGATCACTCCTCTCAGTGATCATGAACATTCTATGTTCTTTGCACTGATTAACCACTTGCCAGTATTAAAGGCTTGATGTCTGCCTGTCACTAAGGGATAACTATTCTGAACAGAGGGACCACTGCTATGAACCTACACATTATCAACCATTATATGTTAATTTGTGAAAAACAAATGCAGTTTTTCATAAAGATTTTAGGCAAATATGTAACATGAATACTAAAAAATATAGTTTACCAGTGGGTATGCATATGTTGAATGTGCCCTAGAGTTCCCTGCCAAGAAACTAGACCTTCTTTACATGAATGTGTTTATGTTTGACTAGAAAGTAGATATGGGCTGGGCGTGTTGGCTCAACCTGTAATCCCAGCACATTGGGAGACCAAGGCAGGTGGATCACCTGGGGTCAGGAGTTCAAGACCAGGCTGACCAATATGGTGAAACCCCATCTCTACTAAAAATACAAAAATAAGTCAGGTGTGGTGATGTGCAACTGTAATCTCAGCTACCTGGGAGGCTGAGACAGGAAAATTGCTTGAACCTGGGAGGCAGAATTTGTAGTGAGCCAAGATTACGCCATTGCACTGCAGCCTGGGGGACAGAGTAAGACTCCATCTCAAAAAAAAAAAAAGAACACATGGACACAGGGAGGGGAGCACTACACACTGGGGTCCGTTGGGGGGAAATGGGGGAGGGACGGGGGGGTGGGGAGGTGGGAAGAGATAGCATGGGGAGAAATGACAGATACAGGTGAGGGGACGGAAGGCAGCAAACCACACTGCCATGTGTGTACCTATGCAACAATCTTGCATGTTCTTCACATGTACCCCAAAATCTAAAATGCAATAAAATAAATAAATAAATAAATAAATAATAAAAAAATAAATAAATAAATAAATAAAATTAATAAATAAATAAAAGAAAGAAAAGAAAGTAGATATAAACAGATCTATCTATCTATCTATCTGTCATCTATATCTATATATATGTAGATATCTGTGTGTATGTTTCCAAATGAACTCTGGTAGAGGTATTTTATTTCTTAAAATCATATCATCTACATTTAAAATAAGAAATGTGGTTGAAAACATTAGCGCCTGGTTTCTCGTGCCTCAAGAATTTGACACAGGTTTTGTTCCCACAACTTTTCTGAAATTCAAGCCAATGTGTAATTGCTTTTCAGTGGACCTATAATTTTTTACCCATTTGCTCTTCTAATATGGGATTAATTTCCATGTATTGTTTGTGATACCTGTCTGCATGTTATCTGTGTTGACTGTCAAAGAGAACTGTGATTCTGATTTTTTAAAATAACAGAAACTCGAGCATCAATTCAGCATTAGTAACTATTATTTTTCTAATAACTATTCCAGAATGTTTTTAGATATTTAGAACTGTTTCAAAAATAGTACAGTTTCCGTATACTTTAGACCAAAGTTCCTCTATTATTAATGCCTTACATTAGCATGGTATATTTGCCACGATTAATGGAACAATTGATACGGTATTACTAACTAAATGCTGTATTTTCAGATTTCCTTAGTATTTGACCTAATGCCCTTTTGTTAATGCCAGAGTCCCATCCTTACCATATGACTTAGCTGTTACATCTCCTAGGCAACTCTTGGCTGTGACAGTTGTAACTATTGATTTCTGAGCACTGGCTCTTTGTCAGTTATACTGGGCTTTTTTATGTATTAGCTCCCAATCCCTATAGCAGTCAAAGTTGTGCATTATTACTACCTGTTTCACAGAACACCTGAATTTATTTTAAGATATTTGTTTTTCAAAGTCATAAAGATGAAAATTACAGATAGGCTCTTTGAATTCGCTAAACTTCTGTACCATATTGGTTCACGTAGTCCTTCTGCTAGATGGTAGAGCTGCTCTGGGTGAGTTACGAATTACCCACTTTTGTGCAGCCCATAGCACTCTGTTCTCTAAGGATGCCATTTGGCATAAGGGTCAGGGCTGTACACTAGTGAGCCATGTTTGGATTCAAAATCTTCACACTGTCATTTACTTGTTATGTGATTAGGCAAATTATATCATGTCTCTTAGCCTTGGTTCTCTTTGTGATAAAATATGAACAAATATAATATCTACCTTAGAGAATTTTGTTAAGGATTAAATGCAATCATGGCCTGTTGCAGTGACTCACATCTGTAATCCCAGCAGTTTGGGAAGCCGAGGCAGGAGGATCACTTGAGGTCAGGAGTTTGAGGCCAGCCTGGCCAACATGGTGAAATTCTGTCTCTACTAAAAATACAAAAATTAGCCAGGCATGATGGTAGATGTCTGTAATCCCAGCTACTTGGGAGGCTGAGGCACGAGAATGGCTTAAACCTAGGTGGTAGAGGTTGCAGTGAGGAGAGATCGCGCCACTGCACTCCAACCTGAGAGACAGAGTGAGACTCAGTCTCAAAAAAAAAAAAAAAAAAAAAAGCAATCATGATGTAAAGAGCATAGCGTAGTGTTTAAAAGAGTAAATAGCCAGTGAAGCCTTGTTGTTAACACCCAGGGTTTTCCACCCTAGGGCTTGGAGGCTGGGTAGTTATAAAGTAAAGAGGCTCCCGTGGAGCATGCGAAGGAGTAATCACGCCCAGCAGAGTGGTAGTGAGAAGGGTCTTTCTGCTAGAGCTTTGTACAAGAAAGAAATTCTGTACTTAACAATAACCAAATTACAATGAAGAAGCAGATAATCACTTATTTTTGCAGCATAATGTATAGTTGTACCACATTTAAAGGAAAGACAGATTATGGTAATTATAAGAGTGAGAAAGCTGGATTACCAGGAAGCTTCCATCTTTGGGGCTGTCAGTGTCTCTCTCTGGGCAGCAAGTGGGCTTTGAAATCATCATCTCCTCCTGGGGCTTGGTGAGGGGTCAAAGCGTTTAGTGAAAACAATGTCGAACCTCAGATTTGTTAGGGTAGGCTCAGAGGACTGAACCAAAGCTGGAGCACCAAGCAGGACATTGTTGTCTTTCTGTCTACCAGCCTGGGACACATTTTTCTATGGGGGAGGGGCGGGAGGAGGGAGGTGGGAAGAGATAGCATGGGGAGAGATGACAGATACAGGTGAGGGGACGGAAGGCAGCAAAGCACACTGCCATGTGTGTACCTATGCAACAATCTTGCATGTTCATCACATGTACCCCAAAACCTAAAATGCAATTAAAAAAAAATGAAAAAGAAAAGAAAAAAAAACAAATCAATTAATAACTAAAGGTAAAAATAAGATAATGACAAAAATGGAAGCATTTTCCAGCTGGAATTGGATGAGCTCTATGTTCCTCATTAGAGACTTAGGGTGCATGTCCTTCTTCTAGTACAATTTCAGGCTTCATCTCCCTTTACCTTTCTTTGCTTGAGAGAAATGCCACAACCTCACCAAGCACCTAATTTATATTGCTAAAACAATATCGATTTTCATAACACCCTGGAACAAGTTTGTGTTTGTGTGTGTGTGTGTGTCTGTGTGTGTGTGTGTGTGTCTGTGTGTGTGTGTGTGTGTGTGTGTGTGTATTTCTAATTCTTTTCCCAAAACCTTGGGAAAAACAGAATATTCAGACTCTACCTCGACCTCCCCTTACTTTCACTCATCAAGTAGATTATATGTACATACTTGTTTTACTTTAGCTTAGAAGCCACAAGTCTTCCAGGATTCTAAGGTCTCTCTCTCATTGATATCCAAGTAAATTCACTTGAACCTCCATTCAGTATACTGGGATGTACAGTTTCTGCCCAGAGAGAGTTAATTAAGACTTACCCCAAAGCTCACTTGATCATTTATTTTCTACTTCCCACAATCACTCAGATCTTGCCATTGTGATTCTTTTTCCATTACCTTGTCACCTTTGGCATGGCATGACATCGTCAGAAGGAATATTATAGCAAATTGTATGTCTGAGGAAAGTTGGAAGGTAGGAAACATGATGAGGAATAAGTAAGAAACACCTTGAGTTTAGAGGATTCTTTGATGGAGTTAACTGAACCCCCACCAACTCAAAAAAAAAAAAAACAGTAAAAGAAATTCTTTTCTCTTCACTCCCAGTATGCTAATATATTCCCATACATAGTTAATAGAACTATTAGTTAAGCCTTTCAAGTCTGGCCAGTGTAGCTCACACAACACCTATAAATTATTCAAGGTTTTCTCTTTACTTTCAACTTACATAGTTAAGAATGATGGCGATGAGTATTAGAGTTCTTAGTAGAATTTGGAAATACAAGACATGATTCGACTCTAAAACTGCAATTGAAATAGAGCAGATGTTTCAGGAGGCAGAATTTGAAACAGGTAATTATCACAAATGGGAAAAGAGAGGAGGATAAAGAGGAACTGGTGTTACCAGTAAAATATAGTCATTTTAACAACCTGACCCTGACTATAAGTCACCAACCCCCTAACGTAAGAGATTTTAGATCCCAAGAAAAGCCTCTTAATGACAGAGAATGGACACTCCGATGCACCGCTACGATCTTCTTCAGATGTGGGGGATTTAGTTCCCAAGTCTGCCAGCAAACACCAGTGAAGAGCCACCTTTCTCAATCTCATGTCCCATACTGGGGATTGTTTATCTCCAATGACACTTCAGTTTGAGGATCTGAAGACCTAGACCTTTCCCCTAACTTCAAGTGTGAGACCACGCCCCTAACTTCAGGTGCGAGACCACACCCCTAACTTCAGGTGCGAGGCCATGCCAGCGTCAAAGTTCCCTCTGGGGTTCGCTGAAGTTTTTGCTGAGTCTGCATCACATTCCAACTTCTCCCCAATCCAGTTCTGCTTCCATTTCTTCCTTTTGCTTCCACAGGTGTTGATACCAAGAGCTCTCGCTAACAAAAGTCCTCTATTCTGTCTTTATCTCAGGGTCTGCCTTCCCAGGAACCCAATCTGCAACATGACAAATAATACCTAACACTGGATTCATGATGTCTACTATCCACAACTTACATCTCATTTCTTTCTAATGCATTGGACCAGAGAAACTTAAAACTCAATGAAGTGTAAAGTTTCCACACTGACACTGTAGGGCTAGGAGTGTTCCCGTGTGCAATGCCTGCATCTTGTCTTCTCCAGAAATGCCTCTCATGAGAGAGCTAATATTGCAATGAGCTGCTAATTGTTTCCTCTGTTGCCATTTGCTGGAGGAAGGAGGAAAGAGCAAAATGTGTGTGCTTGTGAGACGGCAAGGGTGGTAGCTAGGCAGAAACAGGTTCAGAATGAAAGAACCACTTATCTAGGAATATTACTGAGTCAAGACTTGAGTGAGAAAAAGACTAAAGGAAGGCAAATTATAAAAGGATTTAGAAAACGCAGTCTGATATTGTATAAAGAAAATTCCTTTACAAGTTTATACTTTCAAGATTCTGAATTGGATGAGTGAAAAAGTCATTAAGTGTTTCTGTTTTAATCCCATGAGAGTAATGGAGTCCTTGCTCTACGACATGCACTCTTACTTTTTCAGGATGATTCATCCCAACTAGAACCTCCTGATATCCTCTTTTTTCTGTGAACGAATCCCTGATAAAATGTTGTGGCTGTAATGTGCTCTTTAAAATGCTGATATGATAGATTTATATTTAACAATAGGCTATAGATAACAATAGGCTATAGATTAGCTTTTAGTAACAGATTATTACAACAAGATTAAAGCAACTAAGAGTGTTAGAGATAAAAGTCTACCAAATAATTGGATAGATAAAAGAATTATCTTAAAAAAACAGAGCTATATCACCCTGATATTGTACATTCAAAATGGGTAATGAAGCTCAAAGCCTCCGAAACTTGCAACAAGTGCTGGTGAATTGCTTGAGAAGATGCAATTAGTGTGATCTTTTATCTTTGAGTCAATGCTCTGATTCTTCTGTAGCTTCTGCCCACAAGACTGAGCTCTCTTGATGATACTGGGAAAGAGATGAACACTTTGCGTGTGCTTCCACATGCAGCCACCACAGTGTCTGTGGAAGATAGCTCTTACAAACTTCATTTACAGAGGAGGAAATGGAGGCTCAACAAGTTCAGGAAATTATTAGAGTAGCAAAACTGTGGGTAACAGAGTGAGATTCAAATCCCAGTCCCTGTGATGTAAGAAGCCATGCTCTGTAGGGTGCTACCTGCCTGGAGAAGCTCACTGCCAAGTCTGGCCATGTACTCCACTTATCGCTCTATCTTTGGCAGAGACCCTAAAGAAAAGACAAAACTGAGGGGCATGATTCTACTGGGAATGTTGTTAAAAACTCTGACAAACAGAACTGGAGAAAGCCTTGAAGGGAGGGGTCCCATGTGCAAACAGCTGATTATAAGAACTATCACAAAAGACTCTGCAAAAACCACAGCTTTGCATGAAGACTATTGCCGCCTTACACAGACATGAAAATACTTCTGCGAGAACATCTGCCCAGCAACTGCTTGTCCACCCTTGGACTGGCACCATCCTTCTTATTGATGCTTGTAGCCAAGGATAATTATCCCAAATCAGTTGTGGACATCATGTTTCCTCTCTTCCTAGTAATAAAACATATTTTACTATATTGTGTGTATTCCCATTGCAATACTTATTTCCAATTAAATATTTTCTTTTAGAGAGTCTCCCTCTATGTTTTTAGGTCAACACTGCAAAGAGGTGTGTGTGTGTGTGTGTGTGTGTGTGTGTGTGTGTGCGCGTGCGCACGTGTGTGTGTGTGTGTGTGTGTTTAATGGGCACCGAGTCTTATGCTGATAGATGATTTCTGTGAAGCTTCTAGGAGGACAGCTACTGATAAGGCATTGCTTTGTCCCATCCTTCTCAGTATAGGCACTGAGTGATCCAGACAACAGTCACTCGCATGTGCACACAGGAGCACTTTACTCGAAGTCCAGAATCCTAGAGCAGTTTCAGCCTTTTCACTTAGAAGCAGTGGGACCATGAGCACATGGCTTGGCAGTTCTGAGTGGTGGTTGAAGAGTATAAAGTATGGAGGCAGGTTGGCTGGGCTGAAATCCAATCTCTGCCACTCATTGCCTATGTGACTTCAAACCAATGGCTTAACGTCTCTGCTTCAGTTCTCATCTACTAAATGGTTACAGCCATATGGCCTCATCACATAGAATTATCATGAAGAATACATGAATTGATACATGTAAAGCACTTAAAATGTGTGGCACATTACTGTATAATTACCAGCTTTTTAAGAGGTAGCTATTTTTAATATTTGGGCTCTTGGTAACAATAAATGAGCTATTTCTTAGTTATAAAAGACAAAATATACACATTATAGTATATAGTCAAGTTGTGCAATTAAGCTAAATATATTTGAATTGTACAAATATCAATGTAACTCTACAAATATGTCATACGTAGCTGCTAAGCCCGAGTCTTAATTGTTTTCCTCTAGTCACTTTCTCTTAGCATTTCCAGTTCTTTGCAGGTAAAACTCAGGGTTAGAGACTTCTTGCATCTATGGAAGCCAGGGCAATGCACTAAGTTTTTGTCTGCTTTTGGGGTGCCATTGAGTGTGAATTCCTAGACAATATGGATGATATCAGGCTATCACTAAATTGGAAGTATTTTTTGGTGGGGTCGGAAATGAGAGAAGGGTTCTCTTTGTTAACTGAGTTTATTTAACTTTAGCAAATAACAAATATAGACATTGGGAATGAATGAAACCCAGAAAGCAGGCGGTGAACAAATTCATGCAAATATTTGTACACATGTTTATTTATGCCTACAGGAAACAAGCTAAACAAATCCAAGAGCAGCTCAAAGTGCCACAAAATGGTAAAAGCTACAGTCTCAAAGCATCCGGCACAATGGCGAAGTCAGAGAACTTGGTGAAGAGTCATGTCCAGCTGCAAAATGTAAGTGACGTGTCTACACACCTCCTTCTGCAGGCTACCTTGGTGCTTCCAGTCCAGAAGTATTGGGAGCCTGAGATCAGACTTATATATATTTTTCAGAGCTTTATAGTGTTTTACTTAAATGGTCTTACAGTTCTGGGGTAGGGGATATTCACACATGCATGTGTGTATGCATCAGATAAAAGCCAAGTTAAATTTCAGCTCTTGATTATAATCTATAATGTAAACTAATCTCTGGTAACAATAAGAACTTCAGTTTTTTTTGGCCCGTGTAGACATGATGAATTCTTAGTTTGTGCCAGAAGTTGTACGTGACACCAAGGATACAATGCCCCTTGCCATAAGAGAAGTTCTGTGTAGGAAGAAGAATCACAGAAACCCTCAGAACCAGCTGAGGGTTTCTGACTTCTGAAGTAGTTGTTGTTGCAGCAGAGGTTGGACAAGAAGAAGCCAATGGGAGGTGGATGGGAGTAGACATGGGGACTGGCTCACAACAGAGTCAGGCTCAGGCTGGGCTTCAAAGGACATGAAAAATTCTATAGAGAGTCAGAGGGCTAAGAGCTAGACACTAGAACATACAGGAAGAATAAAGCCATGGAATTCCAAAAATGCCTATTATGTTCAGAGATCTCCAAATTAAGGGATGTGAGAAGAATCAAAGGTGAGAGGTGAAATGCGGAGTTTCAGAATCAATCCTTCTAATTCCAGGCCTTGCAGAGAGATCAGAACTTGAAGTGAAATGCAAACTCTTTGCCTCTTACACTTTTTGTAAGGCAGTTTTAATCATTACTGAGCTATACTGCAAAACACTAAATTAAATACAAGAGAATACTGTGTAATACATGCAGATATATTCCTCTTAGGGTAGCAATTCTTTGATCCCACATAGCATCAGCATTTTAGGAATCAGAGGCATGAAACAAAAGAACAAAGGCCACTGCATAAACCTAGTATTTGAGTATAATACGGCAATCACCCAGGACACATTCACACCACTCCAAATGCTTAAATCACTGGAAATTTATATATCACTTGTGATTCTAAGAAATCATTACCCAAAAGTCACTATTGTCATGTGCATAACAGATGTACTTAGATGGTTTTATGCAGAAATCATAAATCAGAGTCTCTTCCCAGTCAAGTTTTGTTAAACTTTTATTCATGGCAATATGAAGGGATTGTTCTTTTCAGAAACAGAGGGAACCGTTTTGCTATTGATTTCTAATGGATATAATCTCACTGCTCTAAAACAGCCACAGTGATAGAGGGCTTCATTCCTTAGCAACTGGTTGTGTCAAAGATAAACAAAGCCAGACTTTAGTTAAAGTGATGAGGATAGATTATAATCGGTGATATATCAGTGGAATTGTTGAACTGACCTTCAATTTGTGTGGAAGTGGCTGGGCATTTTAAAAAGTGAGTGAGAGAATAGGGAACGGGATGAGCAGGGGCTTGAGCAGAGCTGGAGAAGGGAAAAATTACAGAGTTGTTTTGAGTAAATATGATCAGAGCAGCTGTGTCTGTTTCCTGGCAATTGATGAAGTTAGGATTCTATCTTCCTACAGAGACTGGGAGACAGAGCCCCCATCCTTCCTGATGAGAATATTTCAAAAAACGGTGTCGGGTCCTTGAGAAAGACGTCTTTGAGGTTTGGAGTCATAATCAAAATCCATATTTTTAAGCCCTTTTTAGTAAATGTTCTAAGAAAGGATGATCAGGGGACTATGGTCAGGTGTTGGCTGGAACAAACTTTAAATTCTTTCAGTAGCTTTCAGATTTTTATTTATCTTTTCAGGCAGGCATTTTAAGGGGAACTAGGGTTGTCCTAGGGATGCAGCCTTGAGCTATTCAAAACTGTTAGTGTCTGTTCAAGTCTTTCGGGGTGAAATGGAAAAGTAGTTGGATGAAATCATTTGTGCTGAGCGTCTACAGTATTTTTAGGCCAACTCCAAATGAGGACTCAGAGGAGTCTATCTAAAGTTAGGTTAAAAAGAGAGTTTTTGTCCATCTGTATGTATTTTATAGGGTTGTGTGGTGGCCAGAGCGTACAGCAGTTTTGTACCCTTGTTCATCTAACATGTGATCAATAGCATTTTCTGTTTGCTTTTGGAGCACCACAAACTCACTTGTGATCATAGCATAGTGGTCTGCGAAGTGATCACTTTACACTTTTCTCATTCACACCCCTCCTCCTAGACTTTCAGGTTCTTTCCTGTTGTTTAGTGTTATCAGAAATGTAAAAATAAACTCGTCACGTGTGTGCTCCTCCCACCCCTCATTTGATTAGAATTATAAGGATTGGAATTAAAGAAAAAATTACTAACCCTCCACAGGGCCTCCAGCTCTTGCAAGACCTTGGGTACGTATGACTTTCTTTCTTTTTACTCTCTCTCTTCCTTCCTCACCAGTCCACCCTTCTCTAGCATTTTGTAAGTTGGCACAGAGCAGTAAGGAATGGTCTCAACTGGATCGTTCTCTTAGGGCCCAAGAGAGGGTACAGGGATGTGTCTTTTTGCATTCATCCTATTTTTGTATAAGAAGAGTATAGGAGAGGAAACCATTTTTTTTTTTTTTCTACTTTTCTAGGTTCTCAGCTCGGACTCTGTAACAAACGACAGACTAACGAGAAAAACAAACAGAAACTTATTAACATGTGAATCATGCATACAAAACATGGGACTACCCAGAAATGAGTAACTCAAAGGCATATTTAGAATTTAGGCTTGTATACCCTGTTATGCTAAAGTAAAAGGTTTTGGGTTTCTAGGCAAAGAAGGCAAGTTATGAGAAGGTGACCAGGATAAAAAAATAGGGTAGACAAGAGTTGTTTAGTAAAATTTGTTATGCAGAGTTAAGTGCCTTCTTTATTGATAAAAGTTTCAAGTGTATGTCCTGACATAGGATTGGGAGACATTTATACGAACAGAAATTTCCTTTGAAAGGAAATCTTCTGCCCTTTCTGCGGGGCTTTTCATGCATGTGCAGATTCTCAATGGCCTTTAGCTTAAAATAATCCATGTGCCAAAGAGACATAATATGGGGTGGCATAGTCTGGCACACCTCAAGAGTATATAGAAGACATTTTATTTCTGAGGTGTAGTGTGATTTGCTAAGATTACGCATTTCAAAGGATTATTAGTTTAAACAGCTAAGGAGAAGTTGGGAGTCCAGGCAGCAAGTAGATAAAAGAAGGCATTTAAGGACCCTGAAAAAGGAGAGCAGGGTATATTGAAATGACATATGCATTCAACCACAGCATTCTCCACATTGCTAGCTTGAGCAGGTCCCTTTAATAAGACTGCATTGGAATGAAGCAATTGTTTTACCAAAGGCATATATCAATTTCAACATACAAGGCTGTGCGGTTCACTCTCCATTTTATTATACCTTTGTCACCATTTTCTTTGATAATTAGTAGGAAATGGCATTTTAAAAGTTTTTTACTTCTTTATTTGAGATCAAAATATAATCTCTGTCCACATATTTCAAGTTAAAGTTCCTCTTTGGTAAATTACATGTTGATACCCTTGGCTCATAATTTTATTATAGGAAGCAAATATCAATTTGACTACGATTTTCCATACTACATGTTTTAGGAAAAAATAGTGATGGAGAATATGTATAACTAATCCATTAAAAGGCTGGGCATGGTGACTCATGCCTGTAATCCCTGCACTTTGAGAGGACGAGGCAGGCAGATCACATGAGGTCTGGAGTTTGTAACCAGCCTGGCCAACATGCTGAAACGCTATCTCTGCTAAAAATACAACAATTAGCTAGACATGGTGGTACACACCTATAATCCCAGCTACTTGGGAGGCTGAGGTGGGAGACTCGCTTGAACCTGGGAGGTGGGGGTTGCAGTGAGTCAAGATGGTGCCACTGCACTTCAGCCTGGCAACTCCATCTCAAAATAATAACGATGATAATAATCCAGTAAAAGGGAACTGAAAATTCTAATAACATTTGTTTTCATTCTAACGCTATCCTTAATATACATAAGGAGAAGTAGGTAGGGCATCTGTGCAGTTGGAGGCCAGGTAGCACAGGTAGTTTTGGGGAAAGTAGTAATCTGATGTGTGGTTAAGAACTTTACAGTGCAGGCCAGGCACAGTGGCTCACACCTGTTATCCCGGCGCTTTGGAAAGCCAAGGCAGGAGAGTCACTAGAGCACAGGAGTTTAAGCTTGCGGGGGTCTGTGACTACCTCGCTGCACTCCAGGGTGAGCAACAGACAAGACTCTATGTCAGAAATAAACAAATAACTATGTAAATAAGAATTTTTGGATGCATATAAAGTACAAATGAATCAAAGAAAATTTGGGAAACATTTTTTCTTTGTAGATCTATATTTTTTTCTTCTAGTTAGAACTATGAGGAAATACCAGTGTCAATAACATAAAAAAGAAAAATGAAATAGTAATAATAGTCACGGCAAATAACACGTAGCAGACGCACACATAACACTTTGCTACATAATATGAATGCACTGTCTCATTTAGTTCTAACAACAACTGATTTATATCCACCCTGTGCAGAAAACAGAAAAGGGGTTCGGAGCTTGAGAAAGTTATGTCTGTCAGACAGCTAGTAAGTAGCTGAAAGACAAATCCATGGCCTTATAACTCAGTGGTTCTCAACAGCAGGCAATTTGCCCACCGTCCCTTGGCATTTGGGAAAGTCTGAAAAAGCTTTGGCTATTACACGCTGGGATAAGAATGCTGCGGTTATCTAGTGGGTAGTGGTCATTGGTGTTGATGAACATCTTTCAATGGACAGTAACCTCCCTCAAAAGAAGATTATCCTTCCCAAAATATCAAAAGTGGCAAGGAAGTTCACAGTTGGTGCCCAAGTTCCAAATGGGTCCATTGGGAAATTCTGAACACCAAGTTCCATCACCAAGCTTCCCACTGCAGGCATTTATTTCCACTACACAGAGGGTGACAGGTTATTCAGGCAGACTTCGTCCTTGGAAGGGAAAATTTCCTACTTGCTTACCAT